AGATTAATGATAAAAACCTAGAGGACATTATTCAACTTCTGAAATCCTCCTCCTGCTGCCTTGATATTATTCCAACAGGATTTTTCAAAGATGTTTTGCCTTGCATGGCCTCAGATCTACTTCATATAGTAAACAAATCTCTTCACTCAGGTATTTTTCCACAGGCCCTGAAAACTGCAGTCATTAAACCGCTCTTAAAAAAGAATAATCTAGATGCTTCAGTAATGAACAATTACAGGCCCATATCAAACCTGCCATTTCTAGGTAAAATCATTGAAAAAGTTGTTTTTCAACAGTTGAGTAATTTCTTGCATTTAAATGACTGTTTTGATGTGTTCCAGTCAGGCTTTCGTCCAAACCACAGCACTGAGACTGCTCTTGTAAAGGTCTTTAATTACATCCACTTAAACACAGACAGTGGCAGAACTTCAGTGTTAGTATTATTAGATCTCAGTGCTGCGTTTGACACTGTTGACCACAGCATATTACTAGACCGACTGGAAAACTGGGTGGGACTTTCGGAAACAGTTCTGAATTGGTTTGAATCCTACTTAAAGGACAGAAACAACTTTGTTTCTATAGGTAAATACACATCTGAGTTGACAAATATGACATGTGGGGTTCCTCAAGGCTCCATCTTGGGGCCTCTTCTCTTTAACATCTACATGCTACCACTGGCTCAGATAATGAAGAACAACAAAATAAGTTACCATAGCTATGCAGATGACACACAAATTTACGTAACAATTTCACCAGGAGACTATGCTCCAATTCAAACACTGAGTAAGTGCATTGAACAAATCAATGACTGGATGTGTCAGAACTTTCTCCAATTAAACAAAGATAAAACTGAGGTAATGGTTTTTGGAGCCAAGGCAGAACGTATAAAAGTTAGCGCTGAGCTTTAGTGTGCAATGTTCAAAACAACAGATAAAGCCAGAAATCTAGGTGTAGTCATGGACTCTGACCTGAGTTTCAACAGTCACATTAAAACAGTTACTAAATCAGCCTACTATCACCTAAAGAATATATCTAGGATTAAAAGACTAATGTCACAGCAGGATTTGGAAAAAACTTGTCCATGCTTTTATCTTCAGTAGACTCGACTACTGCAATGGTGTCTTCACAGGTCTCACTAAAAAATCTATTAGGAAGCTGCAGCTAATTCAGAACGCTGCTGCTCGAGTCCTCACTAACACTAAGAAAGTGGATCACATCACTCCAGTTCTGAAGTCTTTACACTGGCTTCCTGTGTGTCAAAGAATAGATTTCAAAATACTGCTGCTGGTTTATAAAGCACTGAATGGTTTAGGCCCAAAATACATTTCTGACCTCCTGCTAAATGATGAACCATCCAGATCTCTCAGGTCTTCAGGGACTGGTCAGCTTTCTGTCCCCAGAGTCAGAACTAAACATGGTAAAGCAGCGTTCAGTTATTATGCTCCAAATATCTGGAACAAACTCCCAGAAACCTGCAGGTCCGCTGCAACTCTGACTACTTTTAAATCCAGGCTGAAGACTTTTCTTTTTGTCGCTGCTTTTAATTGAACTATTCATATCTTAGACTGCACTGTAACTTTTATCCATGTATTTTTTCTTTTAATGTTTATTTTATTAGCTTTTCTTTTTAATGACTGATTTTAAATGCCATTTTCTTAATCTCTTTCATTTTTTGTAAAGCACTTTGAATTGCCTTGTGTTGAAAAGTGCTATATAAATAAACTTGCCTTGCCTTGCCTTGCAGCTGTACCGCTTGTAATTAGGTTCAACTATAAACACTTCGAACAAAACGCCGGCGGCACCAACAAAAGTAGCGCACACTGCAAAGTCTGCAATATAAAAATCAAGGATGCTGGTGCAACAACGTCAAATTTCATCAGGCACTTGAAAACTCACCCGGAGAGGTCAGTCACATTAACGCATATGGACGGTTAGCAAACATGTTTAGCTCAGCATCAGCTATGTAATGTTAACTTAGCTTGCTACTAGCTTTGTAACTGAATATTTGAAAAGATGAGTGAATGTTTGCTTGTCACACTTGTTTGCGTTGAGTGGCGTTGACATCCAACTCTTGACATGACATAAAAAAGGTCGGTAACGTTAATCATTACGTTCCGCTGCCACCATACTGGCTAACGTTAAACGTAGAAAAATACATAGTTACATATATACATAAATACATCTGTCGGTTCATAGGCAGGTTACAGGTTTATTGTTGACCACGTAACGTTAATGTTACAGGTTTATCAGGTTACCATTACACTGGGTTTGAGTGAGAGGATAGAGGAATATGTTTATTTATAGTAGACTTAAAAGATGTCATTAGAGACCCAGTGTAATTAAACAATACGGTTGCAGAGGTCAAATTTTAACATTTTTGTCCACTGGCCAAATGGCTAGCCTAGTGAATGTTGAAATGTTACCAGCCACTCAATAGATTGCCATTGTTATTTTTGGCTGGTGCGTGCAACATACAGTACCAGCCACTTGCATGATTTACCAGCATTTGGCTGGTAAATGGTGTTAATGGTAGATATCTCTTTTGGAACAGGTCATGTTTTAATATCACCAGTTCAGTATATTTCAGATAATATTGCAGCAATAGTTTTTTAGTTGCAAATGGCACAGAACAAATATTTATTTTTAAGTACTTTTAACACAGTTTCCCTGCGGGGGATTAATAAAGTATTTGTGATACTGATTTCTGATTCTGACTTTTCTTTTTGTCGCTGCTTTTAATTGAACTATTCATATCTTAGACTGCACTGTAACTTTTATCCATGTACTTTTTTCTTTTAATGTTTAATTGACAGCACTGTAACTTCTATCCATGTATTTTTTTTTTTAATGTTTATTTTATTAGCTTTTCTTTTTAATGACTGATTTTAAATGCCATTTTCTTAATCTCTTTCATTTTTTGTAAAGCACTTTGAATTGCCTTGTGTTGAAAAGTGCTATATAAATAAACTTGCCTTGCCTTGCCTTGCCTTGCCTTGCCTTGCCTTGCCTTGCCTTGCCTTGCCTTGCCTTGCCTTGATACTGATTTCTGATTCTGAAGTGTTTTGCTTATAAGTTGTTCGCATTTAGCTAAAGTGTGATGTTTTTCCTCATATTGCATTGCAATAGTCTGTTGTGATCATATAACAAACAACTAATCAGTACTGATACTGTATGCTAATAGATATAGGAGTGATAATAATACAGTAAATGCTTTGAATTTCTTAGATATAGCTGTGCAGTATTCTTAAAGGGGTCGAGCAGACTGATGGGTGAGCCACAGCTAAACCTGGAGACCCTGTACCTCTGACAGTTACAGCCGTTGTCAGTGGTGTAAAGTAACTAGTAGATTAACTGAAGTACTGTATACTTGTGTAACATTAATTCTACTCCACTACAATTCTAAGGTGAATCGTGTACTTTGACACCGCTACATTTATGTAATACCTTACTTTACAGATGTGGATGAATGATGTGAAATATAATCAAGTGTTGAATCAGACTTTAGTTCCACCTCCTGGAGTAAATCCACAAGCTACCCTGCAGTATACAAAGTCATTCAAACTAGCTGCACCTTTACCAGCTTTGAGAACACTTTAATGATCAATCATTATAAATCATATAATACATATTATTCTGAAAGAGGCAGATCTGCATAATGAGTACTTTTACCTTTGGTACTTTAAGTATATTTAGATGCTGTACTTTTGTACTTTAACTTGAGTAACATTTTGAATGTAGGACTTTTACTTGTAACAGAGTACTACACTCTGGTACTTCTTCTTGTACTCAAGTACAAGATCCGAGTACTTCTACCACCTCTGGCGGTGGTCCAGCTCTATATTGAATGATGACTCCCACCCTCTGCACTCAGAATTTAAGCTTCCTCCTTCGGGCCAGAGGTTAGTTGTCCCAAAGTGTAGAACAAAGCGGTATAAAACAGCTTTATTCCGGCAGCCATCGCACAAAGGAATAAGTCGTAGCAGTGTCACACAGATGCCTATTTATTAATTTATTAACTTCAAATGCCAATGTTTTTACTACTGACCTTTGTTTTTAGATGTGACAGAACAGGGTGTACTTTTACTAGAGATGTGTCTGTTTTCTGTGTTGTTTTTAGAATATGTGTCAGGATGGACCTGTTGTCTTTATATCTGCAACCTAAATCTACCTACGGGTACCAATAGATACCCTGATACCAATAACTATGAGTGACATCCCTCAGAATAGGTAAGCATCACAAACAATGAGTGGCATGCCATCAGCTACGTTTCAGCATCTCTGACTTGGAGGTCCTTGCTGACTACGGTCTTACAGTCTTTATTTGTGTTGCACAATTTACCCAGTCGCTTAAATATTCTCGTTGAGTTTTCCCAGCACTGTATCTGTGGATAGTTGGAGCTTGAAACGCAGGCGCTCCTCCAGGTCAGGAAAGTCTCTGAGCGGTGTGTTGGAGATTTAGATGTTTGAAAGCGCTCGGGACTGCTCCGCCAAGTTACCTACGCCATCAGGGTGCTGCATTCAGCCAACACACTATCCCATACTTTATGGTTGCTTTCAAGATTCTGGAAGCATTCCCTCAAGGCTTGATGGAGTGAAAGTAGCGCAGGTTTGGACATTTCAGAGGTGTTGATTTAAGACAACAGTTGACCACAACATTTAAATGTAAAATGTACAGATCCTAAAATGATGTTAGCCCGTTTCAGATTGACGTGCTCCTTGAATATGATATGTATAACCCTTACAAATTAAGGCAATATTAGCTGCTAGGTCAAATCACATTTCCACCCATGTTTCTACCATGCCTGTATCCATTTCCGTCCTGCTGATGTAAACACTGACGTTTGCTGCTGTGATTGGTCGAGAACCATTTTTTTATGCAAAGCATACGCGAATTTTAATTGGCTGACTGGACGCCTGGCCCCTCCTTGCGCCGCGCTCAAGGAGTTGCGCAGACATTAGAACACGGCTGTCTGAAGAAGGAAGAGACACGAAGAAGAACACTAGTATCAGGTGAGAGACAATAATTATAAAACGAGGTCGCCATGACCAAAACGGATTATTAAGAGGGTTGTTATCGAATGTTTGTGCGTGGGAAAGAAGCTGACAATTAAGGAAGTCCGCCAAATTGCGAGGTAACCGAGTAACCTCGCTTACAGTTTCCACTGCAGCGGGTAGCTTGCTTTAAGCGTGCCGAACCGTGCGGGGTCCGTTTTTGGTTGCGCTTCCACTTGGCCTAGTTTTTGCCCGGGGCTACTTTTTCACCTTTTTTCTGGCCCGACTAAATCGTGGTTCTAGAGCCAGGAACAACCAGGCTGAGTCGGGCTGAGTATGCTAAACTAGAGAGAGAATCGCTGGCAAGGGGGCTATAACTACAACAAGATGAACATATTTGACCGTGATTTAATTGTAATACACGTTTCAAAATGATGCCGAAGTAACAACATACTGATACCGGTTAGTAAAAACCATGAATTAATGCTTTGACAAGTCTGCAGACAGACGGCAGGCGAAAAACCCTTTTAAAATGCGTGTTTTCTAAATGGAGCTTGGCTAAGCTAACGTTATATATGCTCCGACCGTCCACACTCACAACAACGGCCTACAGACATAAATAAACCAGCGACTGTATTCTCCATGACACAGGCAGTCTGTGGTTTGTACTTGTTTAACTTTTGTCTAGTTTCTGAACGGATATGAACATAGCCGCGGGAAGTCATTTTGCTCAGGGGGTGCTGCCAAAAGTGGGGAGGAGGCCGCTTAAAAAAAAAAATGCGCAAGCTGTCATTCAAAGAACAGGAGGGTTTAGCTAGCGCCTCACTGCAATCTTTAATGGTCGTTTTCTCAAAATGAGTTTTTTCTCCTACTCTTGAGTTCGAAATTTCAACTTCAGTAGCACGTAGATACACCAAACCTTCCAGTTATATTCCTATCAATATTATGAAGGCTTTTACAGAAGGGTTTGTTCATATATCATTCATAGCCTGAATTATATAAGATTTTATACCATAGAAACATGGCGAAAATTGATATTTTAGGGCTGTTGACAGTATTTTCTGATTTATGGAGTGATAAAAAGAGATATCCAAAATCCCTTCTGTAAAAGCCTTAGATGCTAATATGACTACAAAATGAATGAGAATTTTGAACCTGGCTTTATCCAAAGTTCAGATTTCGGTTCCTGAAATGTGTTAAAATATGCGCAAATTTAATGAGATAATGGATCATTTGCATATTCAGAAAACTTGTAGAACAAGAAACAATTGCCTTATTGTAGGTAATTAACTGGAGAAATTTCTAGCTGATATCTTTATATCGTTAAAAAAATTACCCTATTCACCTGGTGTCTCGCCTTAACTGTTAGGCTTAATAAACCATTATAGACCTACATCACTTAGCAACAGCTGCACATGCCCACATGCTAACTATGGGTCTTACTACATAACATTACAAATAGTCAGAAAATATTATTTACAATATTAATAAAACTATGAATTCAATTTTAACTGATTGACAAGGCAAAACACTGCACAGCGGCAGCAGCATTAAAGGAAACATCGTCTTACCTTGTGTTGGGGCTTCACAAAACTCCAATTGTAGCCTGGGGTGGCACTAATGAAGACCCTCATTAGAGCAGATACATCCACATTGTCCAACATGTTACTGTGGACATGCATCAAAGTCAGATGTGTCAGTCTCTTCTGTGTCATATTACTCTAGTTGTAGAGGTGGTGGGCTGAGGAGTAGGGTTGTAGGGTCTTTTTATTGGGTTGTTTGTTGGAGAAAAAAATCCAAAATCCTTTTTTGCGCCATTCTAGAAAGTTGTCACTCTGCAAGTGTGTGGGTCGCGTCAATTACGTCACTCTCCTACGACCTAGATGACTCGGATTTTATTTATTTGGAAAATAAATACAAGCCACCTGACTGATACAAATATATACTATGACTATTACATTATACAGCTAATTTTATTTTAAGTAAAATCATAACTATTTTATGTAGTTTAATCATTTTTATATAGGTGGTCACTCAGTTTTTCAAATGTACACCACTCGCCAACAGAGGGTGCTGCAGCACCCCCAGCACCCCTACTTCCCGCGGCTATGGATATGAGGAGCTGTGAGCTCTGAGTGCTAACAGCTAACGGCTGTGTTGTTTTTCTGGGGCTCTCATTGAAGATGACGTCACGGCTCCGCCTACACTGCGTTACTATAGTAACTGCCCCAGTTCCTAAACTGTAATGGAAGCGCAGCATAAAAGTGAGCCAGGCCTAATAAGGCCTAACCAAACCGAGCGAGGCCTGCAGTGGAAACACAACAAGTGACGTTAGCATAGCGGTTTATTATATTTATTTGCAAAATGCTCGTTGTAGTTATAACAATTTGATGTAAATGATATAGTAAAGCCGCACTTTGTAACTCGGTAATATTTAGTACTGTCTCGTGTTGTCAAGCGTGGTTTCATTTACTTTGTTTGTTTCCGCTACCTATCGATGCAGACATGGCTCCCAGGAAAACAAGAACGACGGCCAAGGCAAGGAAAAATAGCCCCAAGACGGATAAGCTAGAAGCCTTACTGGAGGACTTCGACAACGAGGGTAATTATATTTCACGTATTTTACACTGCAATTTCAATAGTTTTTCATGGCAGTCCCTGACAGGCTTGCTGTATGTTGCGGAGTACATCTACTTTCAAAATGTTATTTTATATTTTAACCTGGCAGATTGAAATGCTCCTAATAGCCTACTAAGATTCGTTAAATGCTTTTTTACATGTGTTTGAACCCCCCTTTTCCAATACGAGGGAGACTAAAATATTGACACAAAACAATGGATGAATATTGGATAATAATTATTTTCTGAATCTATATACAAAAAATACCAATGTTATTAAGTCATTACAAAATGTAGGTCATGGGTTGTACTTGCCCTGACACTGCAAGGTTGAAAATAAACTTCTCTCCTTTCTTATCTATATCTAATATATATATTTAATCTCTGGTTAACATATATGCCAGTACAATAAATGAAATCTGCTTATATTATTGATCAATCAGGATGATATAGCATAAGACTATCTTTACTGGTTCATTTTCATACAACTGGGCATTTTCAAGTTGTAGTTTGTCAATGTTGAGACAATGTTAGCTTCTTTATAAACTAGTGGAGTAAGCTAAAACAATTTTGTTATGTTTCACAGTGAAGATCAGAGTGGGACAGATGAAAGAGAAGCTCTACCATCTGCTGGTAGATGTGGACAAAGGCTACAACATGGCACTCCTTAAGCTCCCAAAGACTCTCCGCCAAATGCCCTGGATGGAACAATTCAGTGGGTTTACAAAAACAGTTAGATATTAGTCTAACCAAACCAAATTCCCAATTCACGAAATGTGGAATACTGCTGATCTAGTGTTGTCACTCCTTGAACATGTTAAAAGATCGTATGATATGCACTGGTGTTACATTAATTGTTTTATCATTGCAACTTTATTAAATAAATGTTTCCTTCTCTGCAGAATCTGAGAAACCAAAGTCACCAGAAGTGGCCAATAATAGTGTAAGTTGATTGTTTTACTTATTATATCATGGATTTGCAGGTTCAGTTTCTCTTTGGCATGTTTAGACACCTCTTAATCAAACACTCATTCAGTTCTTAATAAATGTCTCCAACAGAGAGAAGAGGAAGCTGCTATTGTTGAGAGCTTTGTGGCCGAGAACAATCCAGCCCTTTTCCAATCCGTCAAAAAAGGCATGTAAAAAAAAAAAAGAGTTTGGTTTACATTTGAACTATTTTTAATTCAATAAATAAATGTTTGAAGTTGATTTAATCCCATCTATTTTGTCTTCAACCCACAGCAACAAAGAAATCAGCTAAATCCACTTCGGAAGATGAAAGCGCCTCGGGCACAACACGGAAGGTAATGGATGATTTTGATTTAAGCACACAAAGAGGAAAACCAGCTGAGTGTTTGAGAACATCATATAAATATGGAGAGTGGGTGGTTGCTATGGAATGTCCTTTGTGTGCAATGTTCAGTCGCTCTGGTGTTTAACGGCTTGTTCCTAATTCAGGCGAAAGCAACAAGGAAACCTCCAACCACATCAAAGAGAGCAAAGGCCCTGACGGTCAGACGGTAAAGTGGTTCTTCATCTCTTTTAGGGCAAAATGATCAATATCATTTAAAAATACAGTGCTTTGTAAAGAACGACATTTTTTTCCCCAAATTGTTTCATAAAATATTTTAAACAAATGTATATTTTCATCTTTGTTGTGTTGGTCAAACTATAGAAGTATGTAATGCTTGTGTATAATGAATACAACAGATTATCTGAACCTCTTTTATACTGAATAGCAATATTGGTCTCATATCTGGTCCAGCCCTTATTTCTTTAAGCTTTTGCACATCTGGTTGGCAATTATGTCATACTAAGTTGTCTCTGTCTGGTTTCAGATCGAGCAGGAAGCTAATTGTCACTCCTGAAAGGAATATGAATTATTCTCTGAGGATGGGAGCCACGCCCCTCATTACCCCACGCTTTGATCCCAGGTAAGCAGGCTTCATAGTAAAAGCTGCATTTAAAAATGCACCATAATAATATAGTCCCTGTTTCTGCATTAAGGCTGTCTCGTTACCTGTTAAGCATTGAGCTCCTATTGGCATCAATCACATTCTGCATAAGGGGAGTCTGCTGGTTGGGTTTAAACGTCTCTCTCAACCTATATGAAGTGATGAATAAAACCTTTATCCAGCTGTGTACTCCTTGCTTTTGATGTGCTATATTCAGTATTTGACTTTGTGAAATGCCTGTACTTTTATGCTCTTAACTGTTAGGCTAGCTGTTATTTTTATGAAAACAGGCAAATAAACACCCTAACTATTGCATCAAATCCCAAGATAACTTTTAAAACGGTTTGGGTTTTGTAGTTCTTATCTGCAGGTAGATTAAGCATCTTTAGATGTTTTACATTATGTGGGCATTAGAGACTTGTTCTCATAGCAATGTTGCTAATTCTGTTTGACTGGTCGAAGCCACACACAGTATAGTATTTGACATACTTATCTCATCTTATTCTCCTTCTTCTGCCACAAATGTTGTCATGCTACTCGTCCGGAAGCATTGACACAAAACACAAGAACCACAAATCGCAGAAAACTGATCCTTTGCCCCATAGGAATGCTCAAAACACCCCACTTTGACCCCATACAGATTCCGCACACTTAAACGTAGAACAAAGATTACAAGTTTAACCGGTTCTCGAGACTATGGACTTCCTAAATACTCTGGGTAGGATATTTAGCTGATTGGAGTTACAGTTTTTTACTTAGAAGCAATAATGCAGCAGAATATTGTCAATACATTATTGACCTGTCGGTCGTTAACTAAATCCAGTGGTAATCTAAAGATGTTCAGAAACGATGCAGGAATGTGGTACAAACAAAAACGTAATAGATAAACAGTTAAAAGTGGGCTAAAATTAATGGATATTTTTTGTTGTACCTTGACAATACAACTAATGCTATTAATACTTACTCAGCGAGGGTAATGTTAGCATCGGGACGTGCACCCAAGTTTCAGTCAACATTTCTCGTAATTTTCTAGTTTTAAATGCCGCTTGCAACTAGTACACTTTTTACTCTATTGGATCTACTTTGAACTCAAAGAGATTACACACAGGCTTCCAAAATGCTCACCATTCAATCCTTTGCTCAGACTTCCCAAGACCCCCGCTGTGAGGAATCCCTACCACAAAGAGAGGGTTTACAGCATCTCAGTCAACGGCTCTCCCATCGCAGAAGGAAATAATAAAGACATCGTCATCAACGTCCCCATCGGCAACGGAGAGGTGAGCTTGGACTTTTGGATCCTAAAGGACATTATTGTATTTCCAAGTGCGCTGTGTAATCCCTGACCACCTGCTGTGAAGAACAGAGGGACGCCTTGCTCCTCTCTCACTGGGTCCATACGGTCTAGATCAGTGGTTCCCAAACTGTTTGTGCCCAAGGCACACCAAAGGAGAAGTACAAATCTCAAGGCACACCTATTGTGCAAAATAGCCCTTATAACACGTGTTATCACTCATATCATGTAAAATATCTGTAAATGTGCATAATTATTTACTAATGCCAAATAAAATGTGACAAAGACAACTATATTACTCATGAGATATTTATTAACGAAATATTTCAGAAATTAATTTGAAACTTTATCAAATTAGGCTTCATCAAAGCAGCAACACACTCCTTTAAACCAGACAGGTCACAACATTAACATTTCAGCATTGAAACATGTGCTATTGTAAATATTTTTGCCGACTTTCAAATTAGTGAGATACATGTGCCTGTCGGGGCGTGCATCATTTTGTAATCCTTGGTGGCACTGAGGAGAGGGCCACTCGCAAGTCCTGTTCAACAGAGAGCCGTGACCTCCTGTTGTTCTTCATGTAAACCAGAGTAGAGAACGCCAACTCCAGAGATGGGGTCGTTACTAAAAAAATGTAATATATTACTTTTTAAAAAAGTAATATATTACACTACTTTGTTACTATCTACATAAAGTAACTCGTTACTTTACTCGCCGAGCACGTACGAACTTGCGCATGCGTGAGTGGCAATAACTTTCCTTACCAGCAGGCGGCGGTAGTGTGTATTCGTCATTCAAAACAGGCAACAACTGGAAGACAGAGAAGAAGAACAGACTGCGTGATATAAACAAACAACAAATAGCGTGTGCGGTAGCTTCACCTTAGCATGTGTTCTTTGCAGGTGTTTGTTGAGGTTTGACCACGTGGTGTTTCCAGCAGTGGATAACAGCTTCTGGCCTGGACACAGTTTGCACCTCACCGTCACATTCCTGTCTATTCTTCGGACGAACTCAAAGTAATGGGCATACCTCCACCCCTCGAGAGTTATCGCTGACTCAGCCATGTTTATGCAGCACTGCACGTGGAGATGTGGACGCACAAGTCGCGCAGATTACGTACATATAAAGCTACAAAGTACTGATATAGTAAATTAAAAAATAATTATTTTTGTGTAGTTGTATATTGCAATAATAACGTATGGTTGTCACAAAATCCCACGGCACACCCGGACTTGCCTCATGGCACCACTGCTCTAGATGTTCAGGCATCAAGACGACTGCTTACTAACAGTTGTCAGAACTTTAACATTGTTATTTTTCACATCTTGTCAATTAAAGTTTGTTAATCTTTATTTATATATATATATAACAATCAGACTTGTCGAAAATATTAGTTTATTTTGTCATTCTCAGTCATAATTACCAGGAAACTCCACGACAATACAACACTGAGGAACGTCATGTATTTTAGATAAGCTAAGTTAGAGCTGCAATATTAACAATATTATAATTGCAAGTCGGCAATATTTGTTACCGTTCAAATATGTGTCAATATTATTCTGAACTAAAGATGTTGGCGCTGGATAGATGTCCCCGCCTTAAACATCGTATTTTACAAACCTAAAAAAGTACGTACGTTTGATAGATCCTTTTTATCACACCATGACCATTATAAATATATCTTTCAATGATGATCAAAATGATTAATCCTCTATCGTGAATCATAACTGCAATATCAGTCGAAATAATCACTATCAGTTATTCGTTCCAAATCGTACAACCCAATGTTTTTCTTTGTGTATGACTTCTGATCTGTGATGTCTCTGCAGAGTGTTCAGCTATTGGCCAGCCAGATGGACTCTGCTGATCTGTCTCTGCTGGATGAAACCGCTCTGAGGAGCATTCGTCATCTGAAGGTATATTTATGTAATGTCACTATGGAACTGTTTCACCTCAACATTCAAAGTATGAGGGGAGAAATGTTTGCACATGCTTTCGATTCTCATTGTTTATTTCCCCTCTTGACAGAACCGCCTCACCGTCCTGTGTGGAACGGAGTAACGCTACCGCCTGCTCTCGTCTTGTACATTACTTTAATTCATTTTTTTACAATTTGTTTTCCTTTGTTAGATATTCTAAAGATCATACTTTTACTTTTTATTACGGTTTAACCGCCTTTGTGGAATACTGCATAACTGTCTGCTATTCAGGTGCTTTCCCCACTCATTTTAGCAGTCGATTAAGGTTTGTTCTTTTCATTATAAACCTTGAAAGACCTGACGGGTCTGTACTCGTGTACTGCAAATGTTGTCAGTACATTTGAATCCTACGTGTTTCATTCCGTCATTGGGAAATGAACAATCCTCCATGTACATATCCGATTGTTTGCAAAAACTAATACAGGATCTTGACCAGAACTTTGTGTGATGTGTTTTATTTTGGGTAGAATGTGTTGGTTGATGAGTGTGGATGTGGAGCTTGTTCCAAATAATTCTGTATTTAAAAAGATACGTTAATTATCTTTATGTAGAATTTACTGGACAGGTTTTGTTTTTTTCGACAATTCTGTTCACCAAGCTGTACCGCTGCATGGTGACCAGGAGGTGGCAGCAGATCACCCCACCAGTGTGGAGTCTTGAATAGACAGAGCAGCCGTTCGGATTGTACAGAAGTATTAGCAGCACTCAAATATAAGTGTTAGTAACCCATGTGGCAGAATGGCTATTGTAACACATACATTAATACAGAATATAACTTTCAATCACAAATACAATGTAGCTTGTCAATGTGGAGCTAGTTTAAAATACGTTGTATACTACTGAATAGAGTACAACTTTCCAACATTAAGATTGTTACATATGTGTTGTAAACATTTACATTACATTACATGTTAGACGCTTTTATCCAAAGCGACTTACATACTCAATACTGTGGGCGATCCCCACAGGAGCACTTTGGGGTGAAGTGTCTCAGGGACACAACGACATGCTGACAGCAGTGGGGTTTGAACCTGTGACCCCCTGTTCCCAACACCAAGGCTCTATCCACTGCGCCACACGCCTCCCACATTAGAGGTACCTGTCCTGTACTTAACCTCACATCTATTATTAACTACTTATATTTAACCTTTACTACATTCATTTGACACTTTTACAATTCCTTTATGGATTCAGATTATTTTGCGAATACATCATATAAATAAACATTGACATAAGATTGTTTTTATATTGATAGGTTGAAATGTCCAGCAACAGCATACAAAGTAAAGAGGCTCAGCATTGAGCAGCTTTGATAGACTTATGCAACAAATTAATAATCCAGTAATATAATTGATGTCTCAATGAGCCATTGCTCACAACATGTTCTTGTAATGTTGGTGTATTTTGATGCAAAAGATTTATTCTTTTACTCTAAAGATTTTTAATGCAGGACTTCTTTGTAACTGGATATTTGTCGTCAATTAAACATTTCTACTTTTACTTCTTTGGTTGTAGAAAATCAGAGTACTTCTTCCTCCTCTGTCCTGAGTAAAAACGTGGTTTCATCTAACCTCTGAGCATAACAAACTCTGGCTTAGCTAATGCAAGAAGTTCCATAGTCCTTTCACTACTTTGTTTACACGAGGGACTTTAGTTTGGTCATGTGACCTGCTGTTGGCAGGAAGTGGCAGCTTGGCACAGGTACCTGCACTCTGACCTTCGGGACATCACACCGCAGCCAATTAGAATCCTGTTTAGCTTCGTTAGGCCTGATGAGCTCGTTAGGGTTTCCTCCTGGGATAAGCTGGCTCAGCCTGGCCTCACCTTGGGCCAAACCAGACAAGTATAACTCTTTGCTATCCCCGCTGAAGTGTAATGTAGATGTTTTAACAAAGTATAAACTTTTCTGAAATAAAATAAACTATGGTTAAAGACCCGTTTTGCTGCTTATATACTACTGACTGCTTATATAGGCTACTACTGCTCTGAATAAAGAAGCTCCCAGAATGTACATATCATTGGAAATAGATGAGGGAAGACAGAAAGAGAAGCTGTATGGTGTATGAATAGAGGAGTGAAGGAAAAGGACAAATTTAAGGAATGAAACGTCAAGGGATGGAGGATGGAGGGATACAGCGTTGGGTGATGGAAGAGAAAGGGAGGGTGGTTTGTAAAATATGACTATCAGCATTTTTCCAAAGGCATATCATTTAAATTGATTCTCAGTTGAAAACGCTGTCCGTGGATCTTCATTTCAGAAACATCCCAGATCATTAGGAACACTGTTCCTTCCTATAGTGACAATATGGCAGATATACAAAAGCAACATTTATTAGATTTGTTTTTGTATTGATAGCTAATAATTAAACATTGTGGCAGCGGGGTGTGGTTAGGGCACCGGCTGCTGGAGTGAAGGGAGGGGCTCGGCCGGAGGCCAGACGGCTGATCGGAATCAGGTAATCAGTGACTGAATAAAAGCATGTCGTAACCTGGTTCCGGTCTGTCTTGCAGTAGACGGGATCCTGGAAGGTCGCCAAAGGACCAGTGAGGGTTCCCACATGGGCAACGTTTTGAGAACTGTGTATACTTTGTTCTGGTGCTAATAAACGTCTGTGTTCAACCTAGACCCTGCTCTTTCCGTCCCTCTTTGAAGCCTGTGTGAGCGGAGAGGCTCACAATGATATACCGCAAATTAATGAAAAGTGAAACAGAAAACCTGAAATCTAGAGATTCTTTAAGGTGATCTTTTCCAAACACTCGTCCGATGGTCCTTCACTTGTTGATTGGCTGTTGATTTATTCTGATTTGAATCTTACACAGTAACATCTAACAAGGTCTTCTTCTAGTGAGCTTATGGTTCATTTTGTAAAAATCTAAACTGTACATGGAGAGAAATGTGATGTTTTCAGGTTCTCTCTGTTTTAAATAGACTTAATTGTCAGCAGGACAGTTATTAACCAAAACACTGATGAGGATTTTAAAAGTTATTTATTATGTGGAATATAAAAAAACAATTTGACTAGAATTTTTTCATATCAACAACTCTGCATATAACAAATAAGCATGTACACATAGCTGAAGCAGTAATATAGAGCACCTGACCATCAGCTGGTCTTAACGATAAATCATGTTTGACACCTCGACATGATTCAGTTCCAGCTGCCAGCCGCTCATTCTCTAAACCTACAAGCTGCTGCTACTGACAACTGACAAAAAAAGCTTTAAGAGTTGAAGCTGAATATATCCACTTTGCACACATCGCTCTCCACAGGGACATTTCAACGTCCTTCTTCTTTGTTTCCATCAGGTGAGCGTCTGAAGAAAATCACAGAGACTTTGTGTGAAGTTACAGCTGGAACTGTGACTCTACATGTGGAGTGGGCCTGTTTTATTTCCAACCCGGTATCACGGCAAGACGTGAACATGTGACAATTTACCATGCTGGGAGACGTGAAGATGTCACGATTTCCTCCCTTCAAACGTGACAGTTACACGGTATTTAAATATCAAAGTCAGCCGAATTAGTGTTGATACTGCAAGGAGACGTATTGTGTGAAAATAAATGTAAGATGTTGTTTAATTGCTGATATATTTATGATCCACGTCACGTTTTCAGTGTTGGCGGCAGTTCTTCATGTTTGTCTAGAAGTCTTCTCATCAAGGCTCTATAAATAGAGAACTACGGCAGATATGTCATATTTAATGCAGCTGAACCGTGTATTACAATGCCGTTACGTGATGACTTTCAAAGAGAAAAGCAAGAACACTCGGAATAAAGTATTATTTTACAAAAAAAACACCATATCACGTCCGTTAATTCCACACGCATGGATTAACATCGATTTAATACATTAATGTAGCCTTTGTTTCTGCTCAAAGAGGTGTCGAGCAGCTGGGGCAACAAGAACATCGGCGAAATCGAGTGTGACTATTACAAAATAAGTCATTATTATATTAATATTGACAATAACAACTGACCATCATGGTAGAGCATTTGCTTGGCATTTCCGGGTATTTCTCTACTGGTTGGGCCATGTTAACAATACCGTGACACTGTCACGTTTGAAGGGACGAAATCGTCACATGTTCACGTCTTGCCGTGATACCGGGTTGCTTTGATCTGATGCAGGAGGCTCTAACCTGACTGGACTTCACACCATGTCTTCCTGCTCCTCTGTGTCTTCTGTCTGTGCTGCAGTGTGTGAGACGTTCTCATACTCAGGATCAGAGTCCAACTGATGAAGAGAGAGAAGACAACATTAGACCCTCGTTCATGAAACCCGTATATACTTTAAGATCATATAAAACATTTTTCATATTTTAAAGTTGATGACAATTATTTCTTGGTTACATTCGTGACTGGTTTCAACTCAGGAAGTTGTCTTTAAACACAAGTTCTCTTCACATTGCATTTATGAGCCACAGTATAGCTTTGACGAAGGGGAAATGTTGTCAATAGGTCCGCTCTCTCTCACCTCTATCTCTTCAGGTTCAGGTGCTTCAGTGGTGGAGCGCAGAGCTTTCTTCTTCCTGGATTAAGGACAACAACAAATACAGATTTTTTTTCATAACAGTAAACTAAAACACGAAAGAAGGATGTTTAAACTGATGAATTGATATTGTTGTACCTCATCCACAGACTCAGGAGAAACACAGAGATCAGAATCAAGACCCCCAGAGTCGTCCTGATGATATTCACTATCGTTGTTGAACTCCCTAGAAACATGAACACATGTGTGATCAGGGTTGGGAGGGTTACTTTGTAAATGTAATCAGTTACTGATTACTGAATACATGGCTCTGAAAGTAATCCGAATACAGTTACAGTTACGTGTCTTAAAAAAGTAACGTAATCAGATTACTTTTAGATTACTTTCTTTTTCCATCACAGATGGGTATGTTTTGGTGAACAGGAGACACCAAAAGCAAAAGGAAACTGAACGTGTTTTTACTGTTTAATGGCTTATCAAGAGCACAACTGAAACATAACATCTGAAACGATGTAACAACATAATACACTTTTTGGGGATGCAGCTTGGGATGTGAGGAGTGAGGGACACGGCTTAGAACGGGCGTGTCGCCTTCTGTCCTGCCAGTGTTGGCAGGACATGAATTAAAATGTCGAACTCAGACTTCATTTTAAGGACTTTACGGCCAGGGGTGTAGAGCTATATTTGTTTAAGCACCGGATTGGCAAAACAGGAGAGTGTGTGCACCAGTCTGCCTTGATCTATGAATTCATGTCCGTGACTCTCACAGTATCTGCTGCCCACAGCTGTTTTATAGAAGGAACACCTCCTTCACTTCATGAAATCTCTGCAGCACCAGGAGGCAGCGGGAGGGTTAACTCAGAAAACGAGCGCGCAGTGCCTTTCACGCACCGCCTTTCACGCACCGCCTTTCGCTGTGTTTACCTTCAGAATCATAAGGCTAAAGAGCGACCGCAGGCTGATGTGTTTTAATCACACACACGACTTAAACGCAGACTTTTGTTCCTCCATGTTTCGTTGTTATTGTTTCACTGAGCGGACCCGCCCCTTTTTTTTCGCTCCCTTTTTTGGTTCATCTGCGGCGGTAAAAGTTTTTGTGCGCTGTGATGATTCGGCTGTACCTTTAGTAATGCATATTAAATGTTGTGAGGAAATATTTCCATCAATAATTCCAATAAGTAATCCAAAATGTATTCACTTCAGGTTTACGAAAGTAACTGTAATAAGATTACTCGTTTTTCAAATGTAACGCGAGCTGAATACAGTTACTTGATTTTTGTATTCTGATTACGTAACACCGTTACATGTATTCCGTTACAACCCAACCCTGTATGTGATACTTCTAACTATAGATTGATACATCACATAGTCAGTGTGATCCACCTCTGACACCATGGAGGATCCTCCCTGAACACTGACATGTTGAATAAGCTTGGGTTGCTTCATATTACAAAGTGAATCAGGTCTGGTGAATGTAGAGAACTTACCTGCCACAACAATCAGAGTTAAGGTGGAGTTACTACGTCCTAACTTGTTCTGGGCTCCACAGGAATAACTCCCACTGTGTTCAGCTCTGAAGTCAGTGATGGTGAAGATCTGTCCTGAAGCTTTTGGAGAGTCTTCATCCTCCTTGTACCAGGTGTAGTTAGCTGCTGGGTTAGCATCACTGCTACAGGTCAGAGTCACTGAACTGCCCTCCTCTATCTCAGCAGAGGGACTCGCTGACACAGAGGGGAGCTTTGGAGAGTCTGAAAGAAATACAATAAATCAACAGAAATAAGTAAAAATCATGTTGAATTGAAATGAAAAATGGTTATCTGTGTGAGCATCTGACTTTCAAAGTGTTTTTTGACAGGTATAGAGCTAAAGAAAACAATTATGTTGTATATATATTTCGTTTTCTGTATTACTGCTGGCTTGAATACCCTGAACATACGTGCAGATTTGGGAGACAATTGTAGATAAAACTGCCTTGTCATCATCGACTGTAGCTGCTCTCCATCTCATTGACCTACAGCAGCAGACTGTGAACAAAGTTGTCATTGGTTGCATGATGTTTTTAAATCTCCTCGGTTTTACTCACATTTCACATCAATAGAGATGGATTCAGATCTTCTACTCCCCAGCAGATTCTCAGCTCTGCAGTAATACTGTCCAGAGTCAGAAACCTGGAAGGAGCTGAAGAAAAGCTTTGGTTCTGTAGTGAGAGGAGGAAGTTTCCGATTTCCATTCTTCTTGTACCAGGTGTAGTTAGCTGCTGGGTTAGCATCACTACTACAGGTCAGAGTCACTGAACTGCCCTCCTCTATCTCAGCAGAGGGACTCACTGACACAGAGGGAGGCTTTGGAGAGTCTGGAGGAAATACAATAAATTAACAAAAATGAATACCCTGAACATACGTGCAGATTTGGGAGCCAATTATAAATAAAACTCAATTTTCATCATCGACTGTAGCTGCTCTCCATCTCATTGACCTACAGCAGCAGACTGTGAACAAAGTTGTCATTGGATGCATGATGCTTTTTAAGTTAGCTTGGTTTTACTCACATGTCGCATCAATAAAGATGGATTCAGATCTTCTACTCCCCAGTAGATTCTCAGCTCTACAGTAATACTGTCCAGAGTCAGAGGACTGGATGGAGCTGAGGAAAAGACGTGGTCCTTCACTGACAGAGGAAAGGTCTGCATTTCCATCCTCCTTGTACCAGGTGTAGTTAGCTGCTGGGTTAGCATCACTGCTACAGGTCAGAGTCACTGAACTGCCCTCCTCTATCTCAGCAGAGGGACTCACTGACACAGAGGGAGGCTTTGGAGCATCTGGAGGAAATACAATAAATCAACAGAAATGAGTAAAAATACATCATGTTGAGTAGAAATGAGGAATAGGGGAGCATCTGGAATTTGGAAATGTATTTTGAGAGTGTTCGAAAAATATCACTCGTCACCGGCTTGCTCTTCAATATCAGGATACAAGTATTTATTATCCTTGCAAGAATGGAAGTATTCCTCACACACAGAGCTGCATGTCACAGATAGTTCCCCGAATAGTGTCTTTGACATGCTTATATACTAGAGAGTGTTACAGTCACAGGATGGAGGAATAGAAAGCAGTATTCTGGCCTTAGTTCAGATTAGCTAAGACCCACGTAAGCAATACACATGACAGTCATTGTGTCTATCTCCATAGAGGCTGAATCATCATGGTAATCGTTGTCACATCATATTCCTAAAACAGTCCTGACGCTCTTCTATCATACATCCGGTTACATTCACAGCTACGCAGGGCCTTTGTTATCATGTGCTACTCTGATATTAGAAGAGTACATTCAGTGTTTTCCCAGCAGACAGGTATAGAGCTACAACAACAAATGGTGTTGTGTTAATATTTTATTTTCTGTATTACTGCTGGCTTGAATACCCTGAACATACGTACAGATTTGGGAGACAATTGTAGATAACACTGCCTTGTCATCATCGACTGTAGCTGCTCTCCATCTCACTGACCTACAGCAGCAGACTGTGAACAAAGTTGTCATTGGTTGCATGATTCTTTTTAAATCTCCTGGGTTTTACTCACATTTCACATCAATAAAGATGGATTCAGATCTTCTACTCCCCAGCAGATTCTCAGCTCTGCAGAAATACCGTCCAGAGTCAGAAACCTGGAAGGAGCTGAGGACGAGACGTGGTCCTTCTTTGACAAAAGAAAGTTGTGAATTTTGTTCCGTCTTGTACCAGGTGTAGTTAGCTGCTGGGTTAGCATCACTGCTACAGGTCAGAGTCACTGAACTGCCCTCCTCTATCTCAGCAGAGGGACTCACTGACACAGAGGGGAGCTTTGGAGCATCTGGAGGAAATACAATAAATTAACAAAAATGAATACCCTGAACATACGTGCAGATTTGGGAGCCAATTATAAATAAAACTCAATTTTCATCATCGACTGTTAGCTGCTCTCCATCTCATTGACCTACAGCAGCAGACTGTGAACAAAGTTGTCATTGGATGCATGATGCTTTTTAAGTTAGCTTGGTTTTACTCACATGTCGCATCAATAAAGATGGATTCAGATCTTCTACTCCCCAGTAGATTCTCAGCTCTACAGAAATACTGTCCAGAGTCAGAGGACTGGATGGAGCTGAGGAAAATACGTGGTCCTTCACTGACAGAGGAAAGGTCTGCATTTCCATTCTTCTTGTACCAGGTGTAGTTAGCTGCTGGGTTAGCATCACTGCTACAGGTCAGAGTCACTGAACTGCCCTCCTCTATCTCAGCAGAGGGACTCACTGACACAGAGGGAGGCTTTGGAGCATCTGGAGGAAATACAATAAATCAACAGAAATGAGTAAAAATACATCATGTTGAGTAGAAATGAGGAATAGGGGAGCATCTGGAATTTGGAAATGTATTTTGAGAGTGTTCGAAAAATATCACTCGTCACCGGCTTGCTCTTCAATATCAGGATACAAGTATTTATTATCCTTGCAAGAATGGAAGTATTCCTCACACACAGAGCTGCATGTCATAGATAGTTCCCCGAATAGTGTCTTTGACATGCTTATATACTAGAGAGTGTTACAGTCACAGGATGGAGGAATAGAAAGCAGTATTCTGGCCTTAGTTCAGATTAGCTAAGACCCACGTAAGCAATACACATGACAGTCATTGTGTCTATCTCCATAGAGGCTGAACCATCATGGTAATCGTTGTCACATCATATTCCTAAAACAGTCCTGACGCTCTTCTATCATACATCCGGTTACATTCACAGCTACGCAGGGCCTTTGTTATCATGTGCTACTCTGATATTAGAAGAGTACATTCAGTGTTTTCCCAGCAGACAGGTATAGAGCTACAACAACAAATGGTGTTGTGTTAATATTTTATTTTCTGTATTCCTGTTGGCTTGAATACCCTGAACATACGTACAGATTTGGGAGACAATTGTAGATAACACTGCCTTGTCATCATCGACTGTAGCTGCTCTCCATCTCATTGACCTCCAGCAGCAGACTGTGAACAAAGTTGTCATTGGTTGCATGATTCTTTTTAAATCTCCTGGGTTTTACTCACATTTCACATCAATAGAGATGGATTCAGATCTTCTACTCCCCAGCAGATTCTCAGCTCTGCAGAAATACCGTCCAGAGTCAGAAACCTGGAAGGAGCTGAGGACGAGACGTGGTCCTTCTTTGACAAAAGAAAGTTGTGAATTTTGTTCCGTCTTGTACCAGGTGTAGTTAGCTGCTGGGTTAGCATCACTGCTACAGGTCAGAGTCACTGAACTGCCCTCCTCTATCTCAGCAGGGGGACTCACTGACACAGAGGGGAGCTTTGGAGGATCTGGAAGAGATAACATGAACACATTTAATTCCACAGTGGGACACTTTTTAAATGAACAATAGTTTAATAAAACAGAGTGGGCGGTTAACTTGATTTCATCCTTTATCAGAAATCAAAAAACGTTCTTTATGTCATGGAAGAAGTTTCCTTCATAATTCTCATTTATTCTTCTTTGTAGTATCGCCACTCATAGCAAGAGTATATTTTACCTATTTTAAAATCAAACAGAAAACCTAGAGCCCTGGTTCAGTGCTAGTGAATTGATTTAAGTTTTCCGCACTCTCGCGGGAAGTTATCCGCAATGGAGCGAGCTTAAGTTTAACTTTCAATTGCATGATATAGCCCAGCGCAACACCTTCGTCACACATGTTGCTACTTGTTTGTACCATTTTCAGGCGATTTGTAATCTGTTCTAGAAAAACGATGTGTTTTTAGGATTTCAAGAAGCTTATAGAACAAACAATGGATGTATTTCATGAACATTTATCCATGCTGAAAGTAGATTTAGATGTTTTACGAGCGAGATAGAGATTATTATCTAATATATGCATCCGATGAATTTTATTTTTTTATTTTTGTTTTATAGGCAGACCATGCAGACCTCAGAGAGTTCAACTTGGGCCTGCGACCAAAGTTTTACTGTATTTTGTTTTGAAAATCCACAGCGGAGGTTTGTGTCGTACTACATGCGGTGTATTTTGCATATCTGTCAGTACTGTTGTCTCGGACATAAACTCCGTAATAAATGTAGTCCACATTTCATAAGAGGCTGTCTCTGCATTTGAACAAAATGCTTATGATCTGTAGTTGTATTTGTATTGTTGATTTATTGTGTGAACGAGGCGATGTAGAGAAGGTTAAGCTGTCATTATTCGGCTGTATGTACTGTTGGAGTGGTGAGCAGGCCTATTGTGGAGTCAGGTGGTCCGTGAGTGTTTTTGTATTGGTGGTCCTTGGTATGAAAAAGTTTGAGAAACACTGCGCTAGTGGATTTTCAACGGGGGGAGCCTCGCTGCGGGGAAATTATACAGATGGCTAGTCCGCCCCTGAAAAATGTCTATGCGCACGTTATTATTAATAACAATAAAATAAATTGATAAAATATATATTTTTTAATTTACAATTTTTATTTTGTAATCATCTCGTGACCCCCACTTTGGGAACTCTGGTGGGTAAATAGATAAATGAGTGCAATGATGATATATGTTATACTGTATGTTTATGTCATTATGTCAGTGGAAGACTTTGAGTAAACTCACACACTGAAGGAGAGGGGAAGTCCTCATATCCCTTCAAAGCACAGGAATAACTGTCTGCTGGATCATATCTGAAGTCTGCATTAGGAGATGTGTCTTCCTTCACTTTCTGTCCATTCTTAAACCAGATGTAAGAAGTATGACCAGGTGGACAACTGCTGAGACACTGAAGGAGAGTAGACGATCCTGATCTGCTCACCTCCACCTGGAGATCTGAATAAAAGTAAAAATAAAAATATCAATAATGTTCATGTATCAAAATAAAAATGTTAAATGTTTTAAGAGTACAATGTCAGACACCTGTGACGGACAAAGTGACTGGATAACCCCAGCGTGAAGCTTGGCTTGTTTTGATTCTGAACTTGTACTCAGCTGAGTCGCTCTCTCTCAGGTTTCTGATTCTCAGAGTGCAGATGTTGTTTTCACAGAGATCCTCTACACGACCTGCATACTCTGAGTCTGTGGTCAGATCTACAGGTTCACCATCTTTCTGTTCAGTGAACCAGAATGTTTTCTGTATTGTGTTTACACGACCTCTCCATGTTGATGGGTATGTGTAGGAGCATTTTATCTCCACTGTTGATCCTTTCACTGCACAGATCTCAGTAGAAGAGTAAGTCACATACCAGACATCCTGACCCTGAACCACTGAAACACAGAGCACACCAGAAACTAGAATCAAAGTTAATCTATAAATTGTTGAGAAATGGCCTGATCAGTACTTTCAACAAAGCAGAAAAACACGTGAATTCCTTCTATGGCATTTTAAAACCAATGATACTCTTTGACTTTGTTGTTTCTTAATCAAACCAGGTAGAACAGAAGTCTACACAAAAAGGGTTCAGTTTGACACAAGATTGGAAAATGCCTTCATAGAAATGAACAGTGAATGATTAGTGATCACATTAATTAGAATAGTGTGAGACTCTCTGAACAGTTCCCTCTCTGTTCGCTCTGTGGTCAGGTTGCTGCTGAGGTCAGTGTGAACAATAACAATAAATGCAGAACACTGAGGTGAGAGCAGCTTCTGTCTGATATACAGATTAGAAAAAGAAGAAGACTGCTTTAAACTCAGAGTGAGAGAATATAACACTGAGGTTAGAGAGGAGAGAAGGAACTAGAAGGGTTTGGTGCAGAGGTATGGCGACATGAGAGTTGAGTCAATATGTTATGAATAAGAATATCTCTCTAAATCACTTAAAACAATAAAAACGGAGCTGGAGATTCTTGAAGTCATCTTCAGAAAAAAAACAGAGCAAAATGTTTTCAGAGAGAGAGAGGATGGAACAGTTGAGCATACACTATATTCTCTTTTTAACGCTTGTAAAAGTGATAAGTGATATTTGATGCAGATGATTGGAGCAAAGGACAGCGGCAACGCACGACAAGATCTTCAGAATATCCATCAAAAAAAACTAGAAACGTCTTTGAGTTTCTACAATTCTACACACAATTACATTTTAAATGTTTCTGCTAGGTTTGCCTTTTACACAAATCCATCTCACTTATTCCCACATGAGACCTGGTTTAACAAGTCCCACATTTCCCAGAATCCCCTCTGTTCATGTGATGAATGTAAGTGTAGAAGTACAGTACCTGACACAGAGAGCAGGAAGACAACTAATCCACTCGCTGCTGCAGTTAGACTCATAGCTGCTCCTCTCATCTCTGTGAGGACCACCATCTCTGTGAGACTATAAAACATGTCAGATTAAATAATGTTCACAGGAGGTTTACAGAATCATTACATCAATAAACTGTTTCTACTCACAGTGAAGGAGGAACGACGTGTTCAAAGATGCCTTTCCTCTGTCGTCAATGAGCAGAAGACGGATATCAGGCTGTTAAAAGATTTCCTTCCTCTTTAGATTATTAATATGCATGATGAGCCAAACCCCAGTAACACCCACTACACAGTAAAGTTTGGTTGTTTAACAAACAATACACTTTTCTTAAACTAAATAAACTCTGGGTAAAGACCCGTTTAGCTGCCTATACTGACTCCTGAAAAAAGCATTAGAAATGATTTTAAATGATAAGGGTGAAACAGTTGATCTCTCTGAGCACTGAGGACGTCACACAGTCTGCAGGTGGAGTGAAGGAACAGGAATGCATTAACCTCTGAACCCACGAGGCAGTTTGACTGAACAGGATGAAGATAACCAAATTAATTATCAGAGAGAATGGAAAATGCCATTTAATTTCTCTTGGTTTGTTTCTGCTCTGCTCTCTCTGCGGTCAGGTTGCTTCTGTTTCAGAGAAATGCAGAACTCTGAAAAACTCACATGCCTGTTAGTGTGAACCCAACATGAACACACACACATCACACACATAATCAAGTGGACTGTAGGATTTGGACACACAGTGTTTAATGATACGAAAAACACATGTTCAATGACTTTGGATGTTTAGGTGGATCAGTTGTGAACATATGTCCAATGTTTACATTTATTAAAACACTTCAACATTTGAAAAACAACCTCACAGCATCCAGCAAACTTTATTATGAATGATTTGCATGTTTAGGAGGTAAGAGAGGACATCAGTGCTTTAGTAGTTTGGGTGACCCTTTAAAGCAGACAGTGGAGAGAGCTCTCTGAGTGATGAAGCCTGAATGTGTCTCACTTAAGATCCCCCAGTAGAGGACAGTGAAACATCAGAAACTGAATCCGGAAACAAAGTACAGTTTAATATTTAACACTGATTGTTTTTGAACATTTCAATTCATTTTTCGTCGTTATCAGAAATGAAGCAGGATAAACTGTTCAGCCCTATCAACACGGGGCAACCTTTCTAAAGAGGGGTCAGTGTCGCTCTTGCTCCCTCTTGCTCTTTGGCAGAAAGGCCACTTCCGGGTTCCGTTTACGTGCTTTCTCCGCTGGCACCGGTGAGTTTGCGGTTGCTGCCGTTTGTTGTATGCTTAGCTTGACAAGTAGCATACATACTAAATGTTTATTGCTGGTTGGAGACCCTTGCAGGGATCCTGTAGCCCAGGGGTGGCCAACCCGCGGCTCTCGAGCCGCATGCGGCTCTTTGCCTAGTTTCATGCGGCTCTTCAGTTCATATCGAATTTTATATGTGTGAATTTGGGGGAGAGACACTGACTCCTGACTAGTGTTGCACGGTGTACCGATACTTGAAAGGTACCGCGATACCCTGCCGTTAAAAACGTTACGATTCCTCCGTTTCATTAGTATCGGTACTTTAAGAATGACGGGGGAAAGTACTCCGGTGAGAAAGCGCCGTTTTAATAAGAGCCGTGTGTGTTCAACGCTCTGCTTCCACTCCCTGCACTGCAGCCGTGCCTGCAGTCCCGCCCCTCTCAAGCACGCTCTAAGTCCCTCCCCTCTCAAGCACGCTCTAAGTCCCTCCCCTCTCAAGCACGCTCTAAGTGCCTCCCCTCTCTCGTGCACGCGCTAGCTGCCAGAGCATGTGAGAAAACGAGAAGCATGGTTGCAAGTGGGAGTGCAACTGCCGCTGCGCCTCGGCTTGTTGACAAAAAAGACGCCAGAAGCGAAATTTGGAAGTATTTGAGCTATATCTCTGACAGTGAGGGCAAGCCTACGGACACCACGAGGCCTGTCTGTAAGACATTTATTAATTTGATTTAATACGAATTATTGTCATTTATTTTATTTATTGTTCTCATTGTTTAAAAGGTTGTGTTATGGTTATGGTTCTGGTGTGAAATAAAGCACAATAATTACATTTAAGACTGTTTCCCTTTTTTTAAGAAAAGTATCGAAAAAGAATCGGAATCGCAATTCTTGACTTGGTATCGAAACCAAAATGTTGGGATCGTGACAACACTACTCCTGACAGTTAAACCTGATATTTAGTAGGTCTGTTAAGTATTGAATGCTGATAATTCTGACGTAATTTGGCCGGTCAAAGTTGTTTGGGCTCGGATAAAATCGCTCCGTTACTTTCGTCCCGTGTTATGTATGTTGTGTATGTGTGGTGTCAGTATGAGAGGATGACAGCGCGTATAATTTTGATGTGGCCCAAGAGCCAATCACAATAATACCTGCGATGCAGTGAACCAATCACCTTTGAGGGGGGGGGAAACCTATCGTTGATTAAACATTATCCAGTGTTTCCCCTACCATTGTCTTGGAGGGGCGCTGCGCCCCGCCAATGGAGCCCCGCCTCCCCCCCTGATATTCAAGGTGTTTTAAAAAAAAAAATATATATAATTTTATTTTTAAATATATATATAGCACCAAATTGCAAATAATCTATAACTACTGTCACTTTTCACATTGAACATGTGCTCTTTTATTAAATAAACTAAACGCTTTCATTTTAAGTTGTGAGTTTAGTGTTTTTGACCCTAAGAAACACTGATGCATTAATCAATAACAATAATCCACAGCTCCTCTCTCTGCTCCAGAGGATTTAAAAAATACATATCCCAATGCCACAAAAACGCATCAGTGACGTGGTTGAAATCTTGTCTCCAGAAAACAAAAAACTGAAACAAGCGGTATCAGTGACTGTGTGTTTGATGTGGCTCTTTGCAGTAACATAGAAAAAATGTGGCTCTTAACCTCTGACTGGTTGGCCACCCCTGCTGTAGCCCATGTCTGCTGCCGCTGCTGAACGAAGCTCTCCTGCTGTGTGTCTTAACTTAGTCTGATTGGTAGGTACAGAAAGACGGCTGTTATATTTCTCACAGGCTCCGCCCTCTACTGGACTCTCTAGGTCGTCCTCAGACGAGCTCTCCATCGTCGCTTCCAGTCATCCCGGTTCTCCATACATCTGGCCAGTTCATTGGTACTTTGTGCGTTGTTCTTGAGTACGGCCACGTATGTTTGTGCGGGACGTCCTCGTGACCGATGCCCGTGTGTTGGTTCCCACAGCACCAATTTGCCGGCTGGTAGCTCTTGATGCCTTTGGCAATGTCCTGCTAGTCTCGTTCTCCTGGCTGCAATTTTCTCGCTCACCCTTGGTATTCCCTCGTACAGGATGTTGTTGGTTAAATGTACACTCCCAGTAGGGTACTCCCCCATTTCCTATCGTGCACGCATTCCTTCACTGAGACTTCCATCGACGTAGCCGGCCCCTGGGCGGGCCTACCTGAATGCGCGCGTACCTGACGCATAAGAGGCGGCCTCACACGCTCACTACTATCCCTTTCTCTTCAGCTAAGCAGCATACGAGAAGTAGGACCCAGGAATAGGTGTTTGAAACATGGGGAAAAGTGTTGTCAACAGAGACAGGGTGTACCCAGAGAGCAGGATGCCGCACCTGGCTTTTCAACGCGGGAAAAGTGTTTGAAATGATGCCCCTCTCCTCCAAGTTCCGCACTGCATGTTTGTGCTTAAGGTGTTTGTTCAACGCCAGATAGAAGACTCTGCACACCGGGCATTCGGACGACATCCTTACTAAAACAAACACAATGAATTTGATTAAAATTCTGTTCTATTTCTCCGTTTATATGCGTTAGCATGACCGGTGATTGCAACACTGGGTCCGATGCTTCAATTCATGGTGCACGGACCAAGGGAGGACTTGGGGTGCCACCGGGTTGGATGGTCCCACCTCCGCACCAATGCAGGGCTGGTGATGGCAACATTAGGTCCGATCAGAGGTTGCGCTAGACTTTTTCACTGCCCGTCATTTTGACGGACAGGATCGTAAAATGTCCGTCAAAATTCAGTATTACCCGTCGGCCTTTACACTCTGGGGGGGGGGAGAGAGAGAGAACTGTCAATCTTGCACGGTCGTGAACTGTCAACGGGGGTGTGGGGGGGGGAGAGCACAGTCGTGAACTGTCAACGGGGGGCGGGGCGCACGCTCGTGAACTGTTAGCGCCGTGTTATGCATGCCCACTGCACCTCGCGGGAGTGCGCACAGCGTAAAGCCAAAACTCACAGATATTTCAATGATTTGTAGGGCAAAGTTGGGTTTGGAAACGGTATAATTTCCTTTTTGGCAGGCATGCTTAACACCGGAGCCTCGCTGCGGGGACACTTTGGCGCTGTTCCGAGTTTGTTCTAATCCGTTAAAATGACGGACTGCTTTCAGATTTTTCCGTCATTGTTAAAAAAAATCCGCCATAGACGGAAAATATTCGGTTAACGCGACCTCTGGGTCCGATGCATTAATTCATGGTGCCCCGACCATGAGAGGGTTTGGGGTGCCCCGGAACCAGGCAGCACCAAGGGCGCCGGAAGCGGGGGGGCCAGGGGGCCATTGGCCCCCCCACTTTACGGCCCTGCCCCACATTTTCGCAGCTGCGGATGCCGCGGAACACTGTACAAATCCCGTTTCAATAATTCCCCTCTACTCTAAAGTCGCATCTAAAAAGACTTTGTAAAAACAGTGTCATTACTAAAGCAAATTAGTTGTTTGCACTATTTAGCTGAAATGTGCATTGCAATAATCCTATTAAGCAGAGATAACTCAGTGTGTTACGTTTCTGCAAGAGAGGGGAGGGGCTTCCACACACACTTTGAGCATTAGTGCTGCAGCTGCACTGCACGCAGTCAGAGGTGAAGACCGAGGAGCCCGCTAATTATTGCTGCTGCGTCTGGTGGTCCGACCGAATTTTGAAAATAACTTTACGTGGAATGGTGAGTTTGAAAACATCTATATCTATCTGTAGATATCTTTCTGTCAAAAATGTATTCGCTAAAAGACCTGCTCACAACAAGTTAGCTTAGCGCTAAAGCTGCACGTGGTTTAGCTAAAGTTACTTAACGGCTGATCATATGGTAACAAAACCGATTTAAAATGGCTTTTCATAAGGTTGCACATGAGTGATTCGTCACATTTATAACAGTAACTTAGCAAAATGTTCAAAGGAGCATGTCATTAAGGGGATATTAGCAGAGTTTAGCTAACGTTCTGCAGAGGTTAGTTAACGTTGTACAGAGGTTAGTTAACGTTTTGCAGTGGTTAGTTAACGTTGTACAGAGGTTAGTTAACGTTGTACAGAGGTTAGTTAACGTTGTACAGAGGTTAGTTAACGTTGTACAGAGGTTAGTTAACGTTGTACAGAGGTTAGTTAACGTTGTGCAGTGGAATTAATGTATTTTTTTCGTTTTCTTTTCTAGTTATCATTTGGTAATAAACCCAATTCAAAATGTGTCCTTAGGTTGCACGCCTGCCGGATTATCTTCTGCTCGGACGAGCTGCACCCCCTCATCCTGGCCGCGCGGGGCTGTACGGTGAGTGGGTGAGCCAGCGCTGTGAGATGCGCCCCGAGGTGCTCTTCCTCACCCGCCACTTCATCTTCCACGACAACAACCACTCCTGGGAGGGCCACTACTACCACTACTCCGACCCCATCTGCCAACACCCCACCTTCAGCATCTATAGCCGGGGGCTCCACTCCACCCGCGTAATGGGCGGGACAGAGTTCGTCTTCAAAGGTAACGGGTTAAACTGTTGACCCTGGTAGAATGGTCTCTTTTACTCCCTTTATTGTACATGTGAGGGTCTATGTATGTATGTATGACAGCTAGATTATTTGGGCAAAGACAAAGGTACTTCAACGCAAAATGGTACAAAAACAGAGAGTGGTTAATTCTTTGCAAAACCACTAAACGGGCCTTCTGTGAAATATGCAGATTTGCTGCTGTCAAACGGCTTGTAACTTTCTCAAAATGTGGAGATGATAGCTTTGTTAATACCGGAGTTAATAACTGGAAAAAGTGCCCAAGCCTGGACAGCCACGAAAAATCTCATTTCCACAGAGAGTGTATTCAAAAAAAGTGCGCTTTCTTCAGTCAAATACCAGTCAACATACAGCTTGTCAAACAACAGCGTATTGAGCAGGAAAAAAGAAGAGATGGAATGATGGAGCAACTGCGCTGTCTGCAGTTTCTAACCCGACAGGGCCTAGCAATCAGGGGGCATGCAGATAAGGAGAGCAATTTCCAAAAGCTAGTTGAACTTGTTGCTGAGAAAAACCCCACTCTGAAAAGCTTCATGCTCACCGGGAAATATGCATCACATGAGACAATTAATGAACTTATAAATCAAATGTATCGGGAGTCTCTGACCACTCTATTAACTGAAATTAAAAGCAATGCAAAACACTATGCAGTTATTGTGGATGAAACTCGCGATTGCTCCGGGCATGAACAGTTGTCTCTTACAGTACGATGGGTATCAGCTGATTATGTTATCCATGAAGACTTCATAGGAATGTATGACTGTCCTAAAACTGACGCAGAATCAATAACCCTTACTATTAAGGACATGTTAATGAGATGCGGCCTGGACATTGGTGACATGAGAGGACAAACCTACGATGGCGCATCTGTTCTACAGGGACAAATGTCAGGTGTGGCCAAACGCTTTAAAGACATAAATCCCAAAGCAGTCTCAATGCATTGCACAAATCACAGTTTGAACCTAATTCTTCAGGAAGCTGCTTCAAAGTGCAACATTGTACGTGGTGCCTTCAGTTTAGTTCACGACATACATGAGATAATCAACAACTCACCAAAACGACTCGCCATGTTTAAAAACATTAGGGATGCTGCTGCTGCCTCTCCTGGTGCCAGTGCTGGCCTCACACCGCTCTGCCCCACTCGCTAGACAGCCAGAGGCAGTGCAATCAAATCCTTGCTTGCCAATTATGAAGCTGTCTACGACACTTTGGATAAAATAATCTGAATGGGGGGGAACACAGAAGCAAGCAAAAAGGCACCAGGGCTGCAGGCATTGATGACTCAATTCAGTGTTTGCTTTGGACTGAAAGTGTGTCTTAAACTGTTTTCTTCTGCGGAAGAGGTGGCTCGGGTGCTTCAGTCCAAAGACCTCTCAGCAGAGACAGTTAAGTCAGCAGTGCAGATGCTCCGGACACACTACACAAACCTGAGGTCCACAGAGGCATTCCACAGTATCTTTGAAGATGCCCAAAGAATGACCATGAACGACCTGGTCCAGGCACCGGCTCTTCCTCCAAGGCGGCGCGCTCCACGCCGTTATGATGATGGGGATGCACCTCATCAGTGGGAAAATCCAGAGGACTACTTCAGGAGCCAGTTCTTTGAGGTAGTTGACCTGCTCACTTCTGAGCTGACTCGCAGGTTTAACCAACCCACTCTGCTTCTGCTGATGAGCATGGAACAGGTACTCCTCACAGCAGTAAACACCCCCCCGGGATTCGGCAGCATCAACATCCCCCAAAATCTGGTCGACATGTACACAGGTGATGTTGACATGGAACGGCTGTCCACCCAGTTGTCACTGTTTCCAGCAGTTTTGCAGGCACACAACAGTTCCGGCGCTGAAAGACCCATCACTCAGGTGACAAAGGTGGCCACAATCGCGGACATGCACAGGGACGAGGCACGCAATCCCTCTTCAGTGAAGTGGACAAGCTTCTACGGCTGTATTTCACTGTGCCAATGTCCAATGCAACAGCTGAGCGGAGCTTCTCCAGCCTCCGTCGGTTGAAGACGTTCCTTCGTTCAACTAGTCCGAGCGCGGCTTAAATCACCTTCTCTTCCTCCACATCCACAAAGATTTGACCGACGGCCTGGACCTCAAAAAAGTGCTCCGGAGTTTCTGCTTTGCCAGTGAGCAAAGGGAGGTTTACTTTGGCAAAATGTAGAAAGATTAAGTAGGCTAGATTTAGCCACGTGGGGATTTTTGTTTTGTTTTACCCTATGCATTGTGGGACATTTGTTGGAAGGTTGCTCCACCCTCATGTTATTGGACATTTTAGTCATGTGATTTTAATTACACAACATCACAGCTTGTGTTAC